GACGCGCGTGACGCGCCGCAAACGCGTTGCTGCTCGAGATTGAAAATTGAATTTTTGCTGCTCGACGCGCCGCGTCAACCAATCAGAAAAGCTGATCTGGGAGCTGGCTGGGAGAGAGACACAGCGCTGATGACACAGACCGCTCTGATTACTCCTCTTAAACAGTTTATTAACGCATAATTAAAGCTGCAGTCTGCAACATTGAGGAGAGAGCAGACTTCAACTGAAAATTTGAAGAAAAACAGGTTTCACGCCACTCCCCCACCCTCTCTGCTTCACTCATGCCCCACCTCCAAGCTCCACCCCTCTCACAGCATCTGCGCGGCTGCCGCATGCGACCAGAAGGGGGGGGGCGGGATTCAGCGTGTGTGAGCTGTGATTGACACTCCATCAGACGCTCCTCTGGCTGTGATTGGTTGTTTTGTCTCGTCCCGAATTATTCTTTCCAGATTGCAATACAGGCAGTAGGCGGGACCAATTGAAGCAGTTTTTTTCACAGGTTACATATCACATGTACTGCTGTCTGGGCATAGGGACAGTTTTAGCCAATATGACAAAAAAGTGATTTTTAAAAACTTACAGACTTCAGCTTTAACTTAAAATGCATACATCTGCCGGCAGAATATGTTCGCTTTTATTATTCTGGTGCCTGCAGATCGGATTATTTAGATGAAAAACACCTACCAGCAGCCGCGGTAAACCGCGAGGAGGCGACCCGGCCAGAGGCTGCTGAAGAAGGGATTCCTTCTGTTGGCGCACCGCCGGTATGTGGAGGTCTGAGCGGCTCCGACAGAAATAACATTGGGAGGCAGGATTGTAATCTGGATGAACTGACTGCACTGATGAAGTTTTCAGGTCTATATTCTCACTTAAAAACATATTAAAACTACTTTATTCCCACTGATCACAGCAAATATAGCTGCATGGCAGAGAAAGGATATTGAAGCTCCGCCCAACGCGCGTCAGAGCCACTTTTGCACCGCGCAGCCAGAGCAGCAAAGCTGCTTCAGCCGCGCGTCAGAACTCACTGGTACAAGCAGCAAAAATTAAGCAGCAGACGCGATTTTGCTGCTTTTGCAGCGTCCGGTCTGAACGTAGCATTATCCTTTTTGTATCCAGAGGCGTTGGACGAGGGGTGAGACTGCCCTCTGCTGGCCAAAAAGGACGCTACCTGCAAAATAGGTGCCATTTATACCAGTTGGAAGTGAAATAGAAAATACAAATTCATATTCCCTATTTCTGAGTGGATATTACATTTTAAGCAACCAGCAAATGTGTGGTAAATTATATGAGTATTTTTTTGAGAAATTCATTTAAATCCACTTCTTCTAAATCCCTTCTTCTGGTTATTTTTGTACTTCCTGAAAAATTTCAGGTTGTTTCAGACAGTAGTGGGTTTATTCTTGCCCTTCCTGTCACACGCAGGCCACTTGTTTCTAAGTTCTTGATCGGTGGCAGGAGGATTCTGTTATCTAGTTCTCATAGGTGACTCCCAGAGATACTGGACTCTTAAAGCATTTTTAGTGCGTCTGATTCTCAAGCGAATATTTCCATCAACTACACTGCCCTTAGCTGTCCTTTTCTTATGTGTTAAATACCTTTCAATGTAAAGTAATAGTGACAGATTTCACTGTTTGTTTTTATTTCCATAATTTTATCTTTCTATAGTGGTGGGTATAGGGGTGAGGTCAATGAAACTTTTTTTGTCACAGACATAATGTTATAGTATGTCCATCCTTCCATTTTCTGACACACTTAATCCCAAGCGGGGTCAAGAGAAGGGGTGTAAATCACACCCACCATGGCGATTTGATTCAGTATCAATTTCCTGACCCAACGATTCGATTATTTTCGATACTCAAGAATACAACACGATATGATTCGATTAATGTGTTAATTTTTTTCAGGCAAGACAATGTTTCGAATTCTAAATAAATCAATGAAAGCTGTAAAACCATTATGCATTTTAATTGAGTAAATACAGCAAACAAAAGAAGTAGCAAAGTTGTACTCCACCTAGGCCTATGAAAACCTCATTCACTGAAAAATAATAATGCCCCTGTTTTATAGATTCTGAAAGCCTGTGCAGGAAAAAAAACATGAATCGATACTCTTGCTGACGTGTCGATGCATCAGATCGTTGGCTGTTGGATCGATGCATCGATACAAAACGATTATTACTTACACCCCGAGTCGAGAGGGGTATATAATATGTCGCAGAAATGTAAAAACCTAAGCAATGAAATAATATAAAGAAAATGCACAATTTTTTCATCTAAACTTAAAGTTAAAGGGATACGAGGAGAAGTGTGGCACATCCTAAGTTTAAAATAAAGAAACTGAAGAAAGAGGAGCAAGTTAAATTAGAAAACATGATAAATAGAACATATTTCAGGTTATAGCCTGTGTTTAAAATGATTAAGATAATATTTGATAACATAAATCCACATGCTCCATTCTATTTCTAAGCCTTGTGTCCTTTTATATCTCGCATTTTCAGGGTCCACCACAGTAGGTCCTTAAAGACATAAAAGCAGCTGTTTAATAAGAAATAAATCCTCTCAAAAACATTCTTTAAATTTGAATTTATTTAATATAACCTTCATACATTTACGTTCTTGAGAAAAACAACACATAAATTGTAAATGGCCTGCATTTATATAGTTCTTCTTCAAGTCAAGACTTGAACAAAGTGCTTTGCACTACATTCAGTCATTCTCACGTTCACACACGGTTGCAAGCTACATTGTATCCACAGCTGCTATGGGGCTCATTGACAGAAGCAAGGCTGCTGTACACTGGTACCACTAATAAATCTGATCAACACCAGTAGTCCTTCCCCAAGGACACAATGACGCTGATAGCCGGAGCTTGAACCCACAACCCAAGGATTTTGCATGGCAAACTCCTTCATCCAATGCCACTATTGCCCCAATGTTTAATTCACTTTACTTTTTATATGATATTGTTATAAGTTATTATAACTATTAATTTTTCATATTTCTCGCATATTTTGGTTTAAAGTTTTATTGTATTATTAAAGTTTCGGTGCAGCCATGCCGGAGGTCTGACTTGAATCTGACAGATTTGTGAAAGGAGCTGAAAATTAGGGTGAGGCCTTCCATCTTACAAACTTGGAAACCATCACTTTAAAAGTGCTGAAAGTTGAAAAGAAATGCAGGGTATGTGTAGGAGGTATTTCTTTTGATTTATTTTTATTTTTTATTTTTTTTGGGGGGGGGGGGGGGGGTTATCAGAATAATCGTGTAGTTCAATAATTTGTGCAGTTTATATATATATATATATATATATATATATATATATATTTTTTTTTTTAGATATGTTTTTTTTGGTGAGCATGTGAGGCAATCCGTGTATTAATACATTAAATGTGGATGGGGTAAGGCGAACTTGAGAACAGGACATCCTGTAAGAATCTATTCTCTCTGGTCTCATATTATACAAAATTCACATTATAAACATCTTGTAACAGTCACATATTCTGAAGCACATGTATGAGATTCACAAATGATAATAAAAAACTTTCAACTCTCTGACTGCCTCTAATTTTTTAGCTTCTGCTCTAAATGGCATAGGCGTAACTTCCTTAAGGACTGGTGTGGACATGTCCCCACCAATCTTAACCGGTAGGGGGACAGTCCCCACCAATATTTTGTACACGTATTTTGCTTTCGGTGCTGTGTATATCTGATTAAAACCCCATTCATGCCGCTCCTCAGAAAGAAAATAAAAAAAGTTCTCCCCGCTGCTCACCGTCCACAAACCCCGACAAAAAACTCAGAAAAAAGAATCTGTTGCCTCTCGCCTTCTCCCCATCACCCCCCTCCGCCCTCTCCCCATAACACCTGTCGCTTCCCTCCAAAAATGCTAACCCATTCAGGGACAGCAGTGGACTCAGACTTGCAGGTGAGAGGGACTTGTGGAAATATTAAGACCTACTTTTAGTCAGGAGAGACTTAAAGTAGTAAAAGAATAGAGAATAGTGTAAAAATAAGTTAATACCGTATTTAAAATATAACTGAACCGTTGGGGAAAAAAAACTCAAACCACTTTTTTTCCGGCCCTGTTATGTCAGCTAGGCAGCTGCGTGAAGCTGACACCCCACCCACGTCATAAAACTCTGCAAATAGACTGAATGGTTAGTGCAACGTTAGTGCAGATTTGTGCAGAAAAAAATATTGTTTGTGCTACTTTTGTTTAAGAGATATTAAAGATAATTTTTTAGGTCATCCAGAGGTCACCATCCCCCCATTAAACTCCAATTTGAACCAAAGTGGTCTCATTTTTTAGTGCTTCGTTTGTGCTGATTTGTGCAGTTAAAACGGTCATTTGTGCTATTTTAGTTTTTAAGATATAATCATTTTAATTTTTGGCTGATGACGTCACCATCCCCCCATCAAGCTCCGATTTGATCCAAAGTGGTCTCATTTTTTAGTGCTTCGTTTGTGCTGATTTGTGCAGTCAAAACCAACATTTGTGCTATTTTAGTTTTTAAGATATAATCATTTTAATTTTTGGCTGATGACGCCACCATCCCCCCATCAAGCTCCGATTTGATCCAAAGTGGTCTCATTTTTTAGTGCTTCGTTTGTGCTGATTTGTGCAGTCAAAACCAACATTTGTGCTATTTTAGTTTTTAAGATATAATCATTTTAATTTTTGGCTGATGACGCCACCATCCCCCCATCAAGCTCCGATTTGATCCAAAGTGGTCTCATTTTTTAGTGCTTCGTTTGTGCTAATTTGTGCAGTTAAAACCAACATTTGTGCTGCTTTACTTTTTAAGATATAATAATTTTAATTTTTGTCCGGTGACGTCACCATCCCCCCATCAAGCTCCGATTTGATCCAAAGTGGTCTAATTTTTTAGTGCTTCGTTTGTGCTGATTTGTGCAGTTAAAACCGACATTTGTGCTGCTTTACTTTTTAAGATATAATAGATTAAAATTTAGGCCAGTGACGTCACCACCCCCCTATTAGAGAGCTGCGGAAGTGAACAAGTCAGCGGCAAAGCAAAGGAGTCTCGTCTAAGTTAGTTTGAGTCACCTATGCATGTTAGTGGATGTTTCAAGTGTGTAACTGATGACATGTAAGTTTATTATGCCTTGTGTGTTGTAAATTTCCTTATATAACCTCTGTTTAACTGTGTTGTTTTGTAGCTGCAGCTTTAGTTTTGTAGCTGCAGCTTTAGTAGTACTAACTAACTGTTTATAGTCAATGTTGTTCATTTTATGGGCTTAGCCTGAACGTTTAAGTTTATATTACATGTTTTGTTATTCAGTCTTTATGCACAGTGATACGGAGTTTATAATCCTGTTTGACTATCATCTTGTTGAGTTAAGTTTTTTGGGCTAGATTGACCACTAGGTGTCAACAGGCTAAATTATATTTCTTTATGGTGAATGTTATTTCATGCCTGATTACTTACTTTATGCTTACTGATTATTACTGATATTTAGTATGATATTATTTGTGTTTTTCTTTAGACCAACTTCAAGATCCTTGCATCTACTACCTGTATACCTTAGCCCTCCAATAAAGCTGCACTCTGTAAGTATTTTTACCGACCTTCCAGGCAGACACCAGTGCACCTGAACCTCATTTATAAGTCTTCTAGTTTTCTTCAGTACATATTTTTATGTATTTCTACTGATAAAGCAGTGACATTATTATGAAGCTGTGTCATTTACCATCACCAGCAGGTTCAAAACAAACTGTATCTGTGTCTTACATAGAACATCCATGTTGGCTCTTTTTCATTTATCAACAATAACCTTGGAATGAAAAGTTTTATTAAGATTTGCAGCCCAGTAATACTGTATGTGCAGACTGCTACGTTTTTAATATTAAGTTTATGCTGAGCTCATTAAATAAAAAACAAATTGCTATACATTGTTAGTAATTTCTAATTCTTTAATTAAGCCTATATATATATTGTTGGACAATATTTCCCACTCCACGCATGAAGCTAGTAATGAACTGGAGAGGACCTTCAGCCTAATTGAACCTTTAGCTTAAACAGACAAAAATGTTTGGATATTGTTCCTTACAGATGCTGTTTTACTTTATAGTCTAACCACAGTGCTGTATTTTGTTAAAGTTTACTACTAGCCTATAAACTGTAATTAGCTTATTTTTTGGTGCAGAAACACCAAAAAGGAGTAATAATAATAATAATACATTTTATTTAGCAGCGCCTTTCTTGACACTCAAGGTCACTTTACAAATAATACAAAAGATAAATAAAAGAGAGATGAAAATACAATAATGTAATGAAGTATGACTTCAAAAATCAACTATAACAAAGTGCCCTTGAATATGTAATAAACCTTTTACTTTCAAAGAAGAACAAACACTTCTGATTTGGAAAACAAACTTTATGTTAACATTTGAACATTTTGATAAAAGAAAACGCCTTTTTAAAACTGTAATATGGTCCTAACAACTGGGAACTCTTCTGGGCTTCTCAAAACTGACCTCCAAAGTATATTTCTTAACAGCATTCAATCTGCTGTGTATAACACAGCATGTGGTTGTACTTTGGTATTTTCAGGCACTGTCTTCACTACCTTTGCCAGATCATCATAAAGTTCCCACATACATGGAGCTCTTCGGCAGTAGGCAGTGTAATGTCCAAGACCGTGTTTGGTTGAGCTAGCCTTGAAAGCGATCACTCCTTTTAAGGTCAGTGTCTTTCCTTGGGGAGCCACAACAGAGGGACATTCACACAAAGGAAATTCAGTTGTGTTTGCTATATTTTGACAACTGCAAAGACAGAATTGGATCTTTGTCACCTAATTCTAAATCTTTTTTCTCCTGCTTTGCTTTTCGTAGGGTCGCCAAATTTTGGAGGTGCCTTGGTTCAGGATCTCCAATGTCCATCAATTCCGATGCCTTCGCTGACCTCCATACAGCCGGCTCCATCCTGCCCTCACACAGCTCTTTTGAAATTTGATCCATTCCTCAAAAGGGACTTCAATCTGAAAACATGAGCAGCTGCCTACTCCTGAAGAAATAGAGCCAGAGTCAAACTCATGACCAGATGTTATGTCTGTTTAACTTTACGAAAGTGTACACAGCTTTTGGAGACATCTTGTTTTCCAGCTGCTGACTTAATTCAGTCCAAATAGCAGCAGCAGGGGTGGCTATTTTGCCATTTAGAAGGATGGCCTCTTTTGAATTGCAGACAACTGCAAAAAGGGAATCCCTGTCTACTGATGGCTTTCGAGGCATCTAGTTGAAGGATAAAAAGAATTTGATTAGCATTAATACAAATATTCTGACATATAGAATTCTGCTACAACTAAGAACTTTAGTTTAAATTACTGTTCTTCCCTAAATCAATATGCCTTTTATGCTTAATTGTAATTATAGTCTGTTTTTTGATTATTGCACATATAGCATTTTTATGACTTGTTAACTTTCATTTAAAGTATTAGTTCAACTTTAAAAATGTGCCTTAGCCCTGTGGAGTCTACAGATGTGCCTAATCATAGATAACTGTATGTTTTAATAAATTTAAAAAATCTGGTATTAAAATGTAATTGAATTTTGGATTTAGAGAAATCTGTTTGCTTTGTATTAAATTAAATATCGGATACCCTGGCCAACTTAGCTAAAAATAACGTAGTTGCTGTTGATCGTGACATGTTTGTTACTAAAAACTTATTTGTTGCTAACATTTACTGCCATGTGGCTGCTAGCCCTGTATGTATGGCATTCAACCATGCATCTCCCATTATTTATTATCTTACCTTGCTCTAAAATCACGTTTGACAGATGTTGAAGTTTAAAGGATTTCACTTTTATTAATATATATGATCTAATTTGCTATCTTTCTACGCACAGTTCACTGACTCACTAGGTGGCATCACTCCCTGTAAAGTCGTGTGAGGACTTCAAATTTGCCAAACAGTCAATGCTGTTTTAATAACTCTTACATTTAATGTCATAAGTTACAAATTAAAGCTTGATGCATTTTATTTAAGCATAAAGAAGTTGGTTGAAATGACACTCAATTGCCTACGTGCTGTGCACTTCTAACTTCATCCTTCTGGCGCATCTCAGTTATTTTTTTAAACCAGTTTGCTGCTCAATGTGCGGAAAATAAGGGTCAACAATGTGAATACGACTATCAAAACCACCTTAAAAGAAATCACAGTTACAATATTAGAATAATAATAATGGAATATAAGTAACAGGTAAAATATTTGTAGAAGTTTGTATAAGTATATAACTGTTGCAGAATGTGAGGATTTGATCATGTGCAGGCTCAGGCTGGTGTGTCCCCCTCTCCATTTGTGAGACAACAATATTGCATTTCTGTGGAGACAGGTTAATATATTGGTGGCTTTGTTGACATTGCTATCTAAAGCAAAGTTCTTTAAATGAGGGACAATAAATCACGCTGCAATCAATCTTTATTAGGGAATACAAAACAATATAAAACACATTTTACAATAACAGCTAAAACAACTTGCAATATAAAACAAATATATGAAATTAACTGCTTTCTTGAGAAAAGTGGTTAGACCAAACGGTGCATCTGGCCACATCTTCTTCCACCAAGGCGTTCTGACAGCGGACAACAACTGCTGTTGTTGATTTAACTACTTTCCTTTCCAGCATGGGGCAACCAAGCCACTGTATAAAATAAGTATTCTTATAACAGTGGAAAGTACAAAAAAAAAATAATAATAATAAAATAACAATAAAAACACGTTTCCCTAGAGATCTTTGCCAATTAGCATGAATATATAAATAATCTAATAAGAAGGGGACAAACAGGCTCGGTAATATTCATAATAATGACACTGATATATCAGTAGAAACATTTTAAAAAGACTTCCCTTCTTTCCAGTGTTGGCAGTGAGATATAATTTACTTTTGTCCCAGTCTAAATTACTGACAAGAATTTACAGGATAAAAAGCGGCCTGAAACAAAAACAGCAGCAGGTGAAATTAGTTGTAGATGTGTAATAAATGTAGTGGGTTGTGATCATCACCTGCAAGTATAGAGAATATAATTTGAATCGGACATGCAAGCAGCACAAATGACCGTTATAACGGCACAAATCAGCACAAACGAAGCACTACAAAATGAGACCACTTTGGATCAAATCGGAGCTTGATGGGGGGATGGTGGCGTCATCAGCCAAAAATTAAACGGGTCGGGTACCCGCGAAAAATACATAAATAAAAATAAACGGGTCGGGCGTCGGGCGGATATTTTTTTAGTGTGGGCGGGTAGTTGGTGATTTTTTTTTATGCGTGTGTGTTGTTATGGACATCAGAAAAGTTATATTAATCAGGCACTGGGTGCAGCGCAGCGTACAATAGCCTATGATGTGTTAACGGGTCGGGTTGCGGGTTAAATATCAACGGGTCGGGTCGGGTTCGGATTTGAATTGAAGATATCCGCGGGTGACGGGTCGGGTTCGGTCGTCATCCTAACGGGTTCGGGCGGGTGCGGGTTGGTAAAACTCGACCCATGCAGGTCTCTAAGCTACTCTACATTCAGTATCGTTGCCATAGAAACAGACAACAGCGCCAATATATCAGAATTATACTAAAACACACGCAAATAATTTCCCACATAAAAAAACAGGACTTTCAGTCCATTACAGTTTTCCGTTTTTAGAGGGTTGTTTATTTTGCGTTTATTAAGTGATGGCTGTGGTATATTAGCTTTCACTGCTATAAGCTTTCGCAGCAGTGATTGATTAATTTAAACACCTGCTCTACTGATGGTCTATCGGAGTTGGTGTTTAGGTTGAACATAAAGAACACCTTTTATTTGAAGCTTCTTGTAGCTACTGTTTTAATCCCGGCTTCACTTAAAACTTTTTCCTGACCTTGTTATCTAGTTGTCATAGTGTTGACTTTCAGTAGCAAGCACTGCGCCCCTTTTTCTTTTATATGTACACGTACATTTAAGATTTAGCGTGTTATGTTGACAACTCATGAGCAAGCTGCTTTTTGAAATCTAGCAGGAAGGTAAGGATAGGATCTTGCAGGTGTGACGTCACTCTGCAGGGGGTCCAAAGATAAAAGATTTAAACAATTTTGGCATTGGAATTTCAGATTTAAGGGAGTTAGAAAACTCACTTAGTAAAAGTGCAAATAATAAATATGATTACTGATTACTTTTAAGCTGGTTGAACATACTGCGACAGACTGGTAACCTGTCCATGTTATGATTCTGGCCTGTGTGCCTGCTCTGCTCTCCCTGTGAGCAATCATCTCCAGCTGCTGCCTGCTGCACTGCAGTGCAATCAGCAGAATGTCTCTCACCTGTGTTCAAGCAGTTATAAGACAGCCTGTGGCAGGCAGACAGGGCCAGATAATTGCAAACCAACTAGCAAGCAGTATCCAGCACTTAAAGTTACCTGACCAAGTCTTTGCTTCACGGATTTTCCCTTTTTGCCTAGCCCTTTTTGGATTTCTCTGCCCTCTGGACAACGACCCTGTTTCTGCCTCTTGACTTCTGCCTCCTGCCAAGCTCCCTGTTCACTAAAGCCTGAGTCTGGCTTCCTGGACCTAATTCCTGCCTCTGTGCTCCAAGCCACCCAACTGTTGGCCACCCAACAACAGTTTTAAGGAGAAATCTGCTCTATTCATAATGCTGAAGGGAGGACTCTTTTTAGGTTAGTGGTTTTGTTGGTTTCATGCTTTTCATTATTTGAACTCCTTCAAGCCACTAACCTAAATCTCCCTCCTTAGAAATCCCTGACCCATGGTGGATGTGCTCCTGATGTCCTGAGTTTTTAATAAACTGTTTAAATCCTTATTCTGTGTTCTGGCTGAAACTTTGGGTCTTCTGACTGGATCATTACCTCTCACCCAGAACGTGGCTAGAGATATGCACCAGCACCTCTTGATCCCACTGAGGGATAAGGTTAAAGAAAATGGATGGTTGAACATAGTCCGCTCTCCCAGATTCTATCAAATCAGTATTGATACCCTCAGGGGCGGATTTAGGAAATTTGGGGCCCTAGGCAAAGACAGGCAGGGGGCCCCCTGAGAAGAAAACCCATAAAACAGACCCATTCTACAGATAGAGAAATGTTAATAGAATAGACATCCATTATTTGTTCTAGGTTTTGTCCCTCTCTTCTTGTCCCTTTTTCCTCTCTATTTATCAGCGTTCTGATGGCATTTTAGCCAAAGGATTTTTATCAAAAACATAATTAATGTGCACAAATAAGGAATAGTTGTATTAACTATACATGTAAACAGAGTTTTATGGGGCCCCCAGGAACTTGGGGCCCTAGGCAACTGCCTAGTATTGCCTAATGGTAAATCCCCCCCTGGATACCCTGCTGGTGGATGTTCTTGACAGAAAGACGGAGTTGCTTAATCGGAGGCTCTGTTCGAAAACCTAGGACGAGTCCTCCAAGGACGCGGTCTACCTAGACTGGATCCTTCGAAGTTCTTGAAAATAAGGAGACCGGAAGAGTTTTGGCTGTAAATTCGACCAGGTCTACCCTTCGGCGGGTTTTACCGCCGTATGCTCTGTTGCTTAGCAACCGTGAACGTTGACACACAAAGCAGGAAAAGAATGAATACAGAAGTTTTCAAAACTGTTTATTTATTTCTTTTTTACTGTGAAGTGAACAAAGACTACACTCACAAGAATCCAGAGTGGAATAAAGGTTCCAACCACCGGGAGCAGGAACAAATAAAATCAAATGTAATGATAGAAACCTTAGTCAGTTAAATAAAATGCTGCTGTCATTTTGCACATCTCTGATGCTGCTGCTATTTTCTAATATCCATTACTGTAAAAATGTCCATAGCTGCATATTGGTTATTTATTCCCCAGTTTTATATTGTTTAAACACTTTACAGTATTTTATTGTTTATATTTTAACTCTTCCCTATTATGTTATTCTTATACATTTTTCTAAGGTCCACATTTGTGTGACAATTTTCAATAATCTTTCTGCTGCTGTAAATTTTTCCATTGTGGGAAAATAAAGGGATTTTCTATTCTATTCTATAAAAGGGGTAGAAAGATATAAGTAAATCTAAACAATATATTTATAAAAAATATATCTGCAAAATCTCTAATATTCAACAACAAAAAATACGAAGTTAAGCATATTGTGCAAAACAGCAATAAAAAGATAAAAATCCTATCAGATTTATAGTCCCCACCCTGCAAATATATTAGAATCTGTCCTTAAATTACAGCCAAACCCATTTACACAGTAACAGATAAAAACCTTTAGATAAATCAAACATTACCGCCACATATCTGACTCAGTAACCATTAAAACAACTATTTTCATTAATCTCAGACGGAACTATTAAATGACTTGTATTATATTAAACTGAACTTCCAATTTTCACCACTGTACGGCGCCAAGTAACCTTTCCTCAGATCACGGCTTGCTTGGTCTCGCAATGACTCCTGGGATATCCAAGAATACCGAGGATACATCAGACCCGTCCTTCAAATCGGGCAAAAAGAAGGACGCATTTTAAGGCCGCATAACGAGGACTCTTGGAATCCGACCAGACCTCGGCGCCGCGCTATGACGTAATCGGTCTTCAAATCCGGTCTTCTAAGGATGCGTCCTAGGTTTTCGAACAGAGCCATATTCTGCTTAAGGCCCCATAAGATCTTGTCCGAGTCCTGGTTTAAAAGTAAATTAATTTTAAAAAGTGACCTAAAATTGACCGTCAATAAATGTTCTACAAAATTGATATATTTATTTGATTTCTTTGATTTGTACTGTCTGTTTAGATTTATGTGATATGTTTTGCACAAAATATATAAGTGAATATTGTAACAGTTATGTTTTCAACTGTAAGCATTAAATTGATAAATGTTATTCACATTTTTTTGGCTTTATCCTTTCCAACAAAAAAAAAGGCGTCGCGCAGGTAGCTCCCTTTCCTTATGAGCCGTTCGCACCAACTTTCAACACAAAGTTACACCCTTGCAAAATGGTATGTCTAAAAAAGCACCCCCCCTAATGATGTCATAAGGGAAAATACGCTGTCCAGAGCGGTCTGTAGCAGCCAATCAGTCAGTCTCTGGCCTTTTTCCTCTCTCCACTATCTTTAAGAACTCTAACTTGTTTTCATAGTAGCAGGTTGTGTGGGGCCTTACCCTTTGAGAGGATGGTGCAAGGAAAGCCAAAATAGCTTCTTTAGAAGGGGACTGAATTTTTGAGATTTCTGGTACATGCTGTCTGCCCACCCAAATTGCAAATACATGCTCTGGGGGTGTCATTCTTTATATTTTTTTATTTTCAAATGTAGCATAATATGGAATTTTTATATTTATTATTATTATTTTTTTACAGAAACAATAGTCACAACTGTATGATGCCTTTTCCTGTCAGAAAAAAAAAAAAAAACTTCGCACTGAATGAAAATATTTGCCATTATTATTATTATTATTATTATTATTATTATTATTATTATTATTATTATTATTATTATTATTATTATTATTATTATTATTATTATGAAATCTTTAATCCTTCCAGATTTATTTTGAAATAGAAGCTTTTATTGCGAAGGTTTGAATTAAGGAAGTGCTCCCAGTGAGCTAACAGCAGCTAGCAGCTGCGCTGTGAGCATCATAACTGGCGTTTAAGCGGTAAAGAGCAGATTGTCTATCGGTCAATCCTGCTATCCTCAGAATATCTTTGATCCTAGGTCCATTTATCTTGCGTATTTGTGTTATTATCTTTTTTTTCTTTTTGGCGGCTCGCCGCTGCCTGTTGGTCCCAGTCGTTGGTCGCCTGTCTCTCAGCAGCAGTAGCGATGGTTTTATCAACATCACAACAAGCAGCTCTAGCATTCACGGCGGTGCTCTTTACATTTGTCCTCCTGCCGAGGTTATTTGGAGTAGGCGGTGGCACAGCGAAGGAAACTAAATATGACCCTCGCTTCAACAGAAAAGGTGAGGAGTTTAGGTTTTGTGTTTATTTGGGTTTCTCTCCAGGACGCTGCTGTCTTGTCTGTGTCTCCGTGGCCTGTGTTTGGTTTTATAACTTCCTGCGTGTATTAGTTGTATATTTCCTCCTCCTTTACTGGAACTCTAAAATGCTCTTATGTCAGGGCAGTGGTGCTTTTATACAACAGCTAAGAACGGGAACAATGAATTATGTTTAAATGTAACATTAAGTACTTGGCGAATAAAAAATGTGGAAAAACAACAAAAAACTACAACAAACTTAGTAAATAAAAAAGTTGTTATTGATTAATGTTTTCTAAGTAGGTATTTTCCAAGAAAATTGGATTTTTAAAGCTTATGAAAACCTTAAACCGGAAATCCTGAGTGCTGCTGTCCATGGTGCTGATATTGTTTTTAAATTTAACTTATTAAGGGATATTTATTTAGTTTGGTAAAGCAGTCTAACCTAGTTTGGGCTCTTTGAAGTTTTAGTCCTCATACAGAATTCATCTGTGTTTCTGTCAGTCTGATATTAGTGAAATATTAAGTTAGTAGACACGATAAGCTGTTTTCAAATGATGAGTTCAGACCAAGCCCTTTGTAAACAAACTGTGAAAGTGTCCACCTGAAATCTATTAACTAGTTGCAAAACTCTTTAAATTGTTGTAAATCCAGACTTTGTCTAAGCCAATTTATTATAGGAGTTAAAATTCTATTATCAGCTCTTTCACTTTTTGGTCATGCAGACTCAAGTGAAGAATCTTGGCCATGCAATAAGCTCACTATGCCTAAGCTAGTGAGCTTATTACATGGCCAATAAGCTAATTTTCTCTCTTTAAAAACAACATTTTAATGTTATGTGCTTTGTATCATAACATATGCCAGATTAAATACAGAGCAGGGAAATGCTTGCCACACATTTAAAACGGTTAGCTGTAACAAAACGGAAAACTACCACTCTGCTTACTGTCTATATTTCACATTGAATCCATGTAAAACATGTTCATTTTGAAATGTCTAATATCGTACATGTTGGGAGTAATGGTAATAATGCATTTGTCTCTGGGAAAAGTAACCACATGGATGATGAAAACTATGAATAATTCAGAAAATGAGGCATTAGCAGCACGAATCGTTTGCCCTCAGCCTTGTGGCTTTTTAATTGGAATGAGAATGGCTTTTACTGTACTTGTTGTTATTTATGGCTGCAACTTACATACTTCTATAATGGCTGTGCAGAAAGTCTGATTAGATTTATGAAACAGACCCATTAAGCTAATCGGATTAGAGTAACCCCACCAATCTTACATTTCCTTTTTCTATGTCCAGTTTTGTCAAATATTTAAAGACAAGCAAGCGACAAATGGAAGGTAAGCTGCAGTTGAAGTGGGGGAGGGCACAAGGGGAGATGAGTTATCTTTAAATGGAAAGAACTGAGAGCAAGAGTTTTTATTTAATATTTTACTTGGTTCTGATGCAATTTTCCCAGAGATCTAATGTGTTTCTGTTTGAATTTTCACAGGCTCTGTTCTGTTTGTTTTGTTTTTTGGCTAAGAATTCTTAAAAGAGAGAAAATGTTTCTAAGTTCCCTAAATCGAGGCGGTAGATTTAAGTCCAACAAAAATGTTTGTATTTAAACTTCAAATTAAAATTCTGCCCCTTAAACTCAAATCCTAAATGTGGTTTGGGCTATGAAGGTTGCTCTATATTGTCGGGGCCTGTAGCCGGTTTACGGGTTTGCCTGCTTTGACAACCTGAACAGCACAGGGTTCACATTTTCACAGCACACCCCTAATGTCTGTGCAAATAAGAAAGTAAATGTATTTTTAAAAGTTTCCATGGCTGTTACGCTCATTAAAAGACAGGATATCAGCATATTTCATTGTAATTCTACAAGTTTGAGGCCATTCCTGCCCCCGAATCTCCTGATCTAGCAGTTGAAGATCCTATTTCAATAACTGCCCATGCAAACAATGGGGAAAATGTTTAAGTTTGCTTTGTGGCTGACTGATTATACCTCAACATTTTTCATTACAGCTGAACAAAACAAATACACTGGCCCATATGTATTTCAGTCCTTTTAATATTTCCTTGTTGCAGGAAACCACGTGCTTCTCGCATGAAGGCATGGTATTCAAACATTACAGTTTGGTGAGATGTGGGGTTGAGTTCATTTGTGTTGCATCAGTAACCTCAAATATCACCTTAGAGTACTTCAAAAGACAAAAAGATCCAGTCCATATCCAGAAATCTTTCATCAATCTGATAGCATGCTATCACATAGCTAATATACAGTAACAGCTTCGAAAACATACAATTCTGCTCTACTCATGAATCAAATTTAGACATGCATTTTTACTTTCTTTTTGCCTAGCCTACTTCATGTCGTCAATACATTTGTATTTAAGTCATTTCTGTTTTGTTGATAAGATGGATTCTTTTATCACATAGAGTCAAGTTGATTGAGAAATGAATAATTAATTGACATATTTATATTTATTATCAATTTACTAAGGTAATTCTTTTCGGATATGTAAAAAGGTTTTACAAAAAACTTAAAAAAGAAGAAATCATGGCAAAAAACACATTTAAATGCTCTGTAGTACGCTTTAAAGAATCTGTATATCTGGGTTCACAAACTACGATTTTACTCCTTTTCAATTTAGACGTCTTGCTCATTTTTGTTTTTCTAGCAATGGCCGATTCATGCTGGTACAGCTCTGGAATATCATCTCTTTTTTTTTCCTGATGTTATAGGTCCAGGTCCGGGCGCCACCAGGGGCCAGCCCATCAGTTTGAACTCCCCAGGCTCACATCAGAGCTCTGACAACATCCAACAGATGAAGAAACGCATGGAGCAGGAGATGAAGAGCGACAAATACAAGTCCAACAAAGGCTACGTGTTCACGCTAATGCCCCTCTATGCCATCGGAGTGGGAGTGTTTGCAGCTTACAAGTTCCTGAAGGTAAATACTTCTTTGACACACGCTCCAGAGTTCTGCAGCTCTGGAAACAATATGTTTAAAAACCTTTATTTGCTTTTTCTGCTGCAGATCAAGTCATCAGATAATAAGGCACAAAAGGATAAATTTGTTAAAGGGGCCAAAAAGTCAGCAGAGGCAGGTGTGTTTCCCAGTTTGGCTTTGAGCTTTGGTCACGCGTATTTGGTTACCGCTGATTATAATCACCGCTGTTTGTTTTACACAGAGAACCAATTAAATGAGTTGGAACAAAGGCTGGCACAGACAGAAAGGATGTTGAACTCTATCCTCACCCAGCTGGACCCGCTCACAAACTGGTGAGGCGTGACGCACAAACAGATGCCTCTTGATAAAGAAGCTCCAGTTCTGTAACCTTCTACGGTAGAACAGGATCAGGGCTGTTCAAAGAGAACCTTTTACGGCCCACATGGTGTCTGATAGCAGTTAATTTACTTCTAGTTGACATGTTTGGTGTTATGTCTCCTTTTTTTTCTTTTCCCTTATTAGTTTAATTTTACGCATCATAGTAATAAACCTAATTTCTTAGGCTGCCGAGGAATTAAATAAAAGTAAGTATAAGAACATGTAATTCTCAAGCTATAAACTTGTTTTTGAGATAACAGGTCACAATTTTTGTTCTTTATATATACATATATATATATATATATATATGTATGTGTGTGTGTGAGAGTATTTTTCGCTGAATTAAATCACTAGTAAGTCAAACTTTGCTTGATTTACAATAAAATGAATTCTTCACCTCGTTCAAATCCACATTTTTAAAACCATCTAAGATAACAACAAAAATGGGTTTTAAAAAAGCAAGATAAAAACACTACTTCTAAAAGGAAAGTATATAAAAAAAGATCTTTTTATCCTGCAGGATGATGTCGCTTTGCAAGAGTTCTTGATTTATTATTAGAACGTTTGACACTTAAAATGAGAAATTTATGGAAGTAAAGAGCTAGCGCAAAATCTAACAGCATTAAAGATGTTTATATTGGTGTGAGATACTTCTTTTGATATAAGAAAGTTCTCTGTTAAAGTGACATTTAGCCTCTCTGTAACACTTTTCAGTCATGTCAGTTCTGTGTTTTCGTAAACAATTAAAGTTAAAAGATCATTGTTAATATGTAACATCTTCCATGAATAAAACTCAATGTAAGACATCTGTCAGCAAATCAAACTATTTTATTATTGTAAGTAAACATGGTTTGATATTTTACTTTCACCCCCACTTTAATCAGTAGTGGTTTGCATGCTGTACACTTCTGTATGTTTGTTGTGGTTTTCTCAGTTTCGGATCTCTTTACCTGCGCAGTGTGAAATCAGTCGCCCAGGATCAGAAGAATGAGATCATGTCACAGCTTCAGACCATCCGCTACCTGATGAAGAAGAGGGGAATGGATTGTCCGCCCATCAACGGCAGTGGTGAGCTTATTTCACTAGCCGATCTGAAGGACCCCAATGAACTTAATATTTACACACATACAATCCATGCAAAATATAAATGTATAGCATTGGTATTTTATTTTTAAATGAAAATAGCATCTATACATGTATGAAAGGAGGACACATAGTTTTTCAAATATTTTCAGGTAGAAGTGAGATGCTCTGTTCAGAAAAGACCAAAGTGTATCTTTTAGCCAACATATTAAAGGCTTGGTTTGGAGAAAAGAAAGACATGAACATTGCACATGACCCCAAGCATTCATTAAAACCTCAATGGTGAAACAAGGTGGTGGAAGCATGTAGATGTGGGGATGCTTTCCTCAGCTCAGTCAGGAAAGCTGATCAGTATGGTGTGGAAAAGGTAAATGACTGCTAATCCTGGAGGAAAAGCAGGAGGTTTAGCCCATAAAGACGTCATTAAGGCAGAGTGTCGAGACATTGTGACACTCGGATTGGACTCCTAAATCCAACTGAGAAAATGTGACAAGACTCAAAAAGTGAGAAAATAGATGCTCTCCATCTCGAATGACTGAGGTCTTCCAAGGTAGGAGCAGTCAGCAACGCTGTGGTTGCAAAAAGAGTTGATACTCTAAAAGCACTTTAGAGAAAAAAAACAGACATAATTTCCTTCCAGTGTTGCTTGTTTTGTCCTGGTTTGCCACATCAGATTAAAAGGAATGGCTCCTTACCAGCCCCCTGCAGAACTTTATGACTCACTAAGGAAGGAATGCACCAAGTAATTTATATTGATTAAATCACAAGGATCATCCAAAACCCAAAAGACACCAGCTTTTACATCTGTAAAATTAAGTAATTGTATAAAATGTGAAAGAATTAAATAGGTAAGAGTATTTTTATGAAGCACTAGACTCAACTATAGCAGAATGTAGCCTGTGAAACAAACGTCCATACTGGTTTTTTCCACTTCAACCTGGAGGCAAATTGGTCAAGTATTCTGCATTCAGTGGATCAATCTTGGATCACTGCAGACTTGTAGCAGCAGATGGAGGTTGAAAGCCTCAACCACAATGTTTGAATTCAGGCCAAGCAGCCTCGCTTCTACGTGTTTTAGTTTTGCATGAAAGACAGCCTTTCTCTTTGTGGTTAGACTTAAATTTGCAATAAATCAGCAGGACCCAGGTACTATCTCATACCTGTTTTACATTAAAGCATGTGGTTTGTTAGCACATGAAGACTAAAACCAAAACCAGTCAGCTTGAAAGCTTATTCTGCTGTTTTTTTTTTCTTTTTCCTTTTAGATGTTTCACAAGGTCGAAACCTGGATCAGCTGATTGAATCCATTGGAGCCAGTCAGACCTCAACAGCTACAGACACAGACAGTGTAGAAGCTCCTGAGGTTTACGGGCCGCCTTCTGATGACAAAGACAAGGCTGCAGCAAAGGGGGAGGAGATGATGGAGCTCCAGCCAGAAGAATCTGTGAGCGAAGAAGAAGATTTAGAAGCAGAGGCGATGGATGATAAAGCAGAAGACGACATGGAATGCTTGAAGCCGCCTGAGCTTGAGTCTGCTTCGTTGTCTAAGACAAACATTGAGGAAATCCGTGCAGAACCCGCAGCAGGACTCAGACGGCGCAACAGGCCTGAATGAACTCTGAGAGGAGATTAGAGATGTGACGGTTTACTTGGAATAATTCTCATCAGAAAGGCTTCCATGACTCATCCAGGCTTTATGTAGTTCTGTCTGCATGTTTAGGTGGAGGACACCAAGCAAAGATGCATTGAAGTTTTTAGAGCTTACAGGTTTATAACGATACATTAGAATATCATCAAAGATACCTATATTTTAGTAATTTCTAAAAAATAAAAGATTAAAATAAATTACAACAGATACAAATCTAGGGTTTATTTCCAATTTTGAATATAATCTAAGACCAATGAAAAACCATTTTTATTTGACATATTACATGAATCCCTTTAAAAAAAGTTTTTCTTCCGTTAAATAAAAAAAAAAAAATGTATTCAGTAGCCATAATGTTTTCTGGCTTCCCTCTTGCTGGATTGTAAACATGGCTGCAAAGGACACTGCAAATTTCACATGAATGACTGTCACTACCCGATCCGTCCTGGAAGCGCGATCCTCATCATCGGCTCATTTGTGCATGTGCAAGCAGATTTTTACCAGGTCGCCATAAATAATGTAATCATGGTACTAAAAGTACTATTTTCTATCCTTAAATCAAAAAGAAAAATGCTGATACATATCTTTTTTTTTTTTTTACATTTTCAAATTTAAACTTTTTCTCTGACGTCATCATCGGACTCAGAGTAGTGCAGCAAAATATGATTACACCATGTTTATCTGCATTTTAGTTTTTTCTTTCTTAAGATTACGCTCACTGATGTAAACATGAAAGGAAAAAATAAAGCTTAAAAAGACTAAATTGATGTTTAACACAAAAGCAGAAAAAGTTACCTCCCGGAAGTAGAATAGGATCCCATTTCTAGTACAGACAAGTGATAAAAACAGAATTTTAATGCAGAAAATACATTTTTAACCCTCAACACATTATAGTTTAGTATGCTTACTATTTTCAGGAAAGGAAAAACTTTATTTAGGTCTATTTTACAAAGTGAAATACAGGGAAACCTGGATGTATATCTGGCTGCTTATGTGCAAATGAGCTGATGTTACGGATCATGCTGCCGGTATGGATTGGGTAGTGACCGTGACATTAAGCAGAAACAACTTTTTCACTGAAATTCATAAATATTTAATTCCATTTTCTTACTTTCCCCATATATGAATGAAATCTAAAACTTTCAAAATTCTTATTTATCATTTACATTTTTACCAATATTGTTGCATATCACGTTTCACGAAATCCTTTCACAACTGAATACCAATATTGTGGGTTTGAAATTTCTGCTTTAAAAATTGTTCTCGCATGTTTCTTTTATAATATTGAGATTTTAATAGGACATGAATTCTGATCCTTCATTAGCTGGAATCAGAAATTATCAAAGCGAATCCAAACCAGATGTAATAATCTGTAATATTTGCACCTTGTTACCATGTAATAATCAGTGATGCTCCTGTTTGTTTAGATCAGGTCTTCAAAAAGGTTAAAAAAAACAGGTTAATTAAACAAAGGTTTAATTAGCCGCATTCATTTGTCTTTGTGTAAACATACTATCAGAGCCAACAATACTCCACACTACCTACTCGCGCTCTGACGCTAATGTTACCTTTGATGTTTGTTTTTTTTAAATTTGTCTGTTGAAGCCGAGCCTTTTCCTTGCCTTATCAAACACCTCTTAACACAAACCCCTCTTTAACCACCCAGTTGGTTGATAGTAAAAAAAAATAAATAAATAAAAAAGGCAATAGAGTAATGCTGACTAGACCCTCCCCCACCTGTTGCTGTGCACTAGCGCTTAGCTAGCTGAAAGTAGGACTTTGCTGTTATAACAGCTTTTAAATATTTTAAAGAAGACGATGCAGCTGGACGCTGTTAAAAGTCAGAATATACTGATTCTATAAATTCGAGCTTTGTGGCATGGTGTACATCCAAACCCAACTGCTTTAGGTTTATTTTTATTACTGCATGAATGGGAAATCCTTAAATCTACCGTACTACAAATGCACCCAAACTCTTTTTATGTATGTTACCACTCTGCCTTAGCTTCCATTTATCATTATTGTTGACCTGATATATGATTAATAAAAAAGAAAAAACATCTGTTTTGTCATACGACTTCACTGTAAGATTTTAGCAACATTTTTGCTAAAGTCAAATGAGTCCAAAATTGATAGATTGTGTTAAATGGAATTTCTCCCCCATGGCAGCATATTCGGAGTGATCCACTGTCTTATCTGTCACTTGGAAAGAAGAGTTTGCCTTATTTATTTTGTCTCTGTTTTCATAGCCTATTTCCAATATATGTGTGTGTTGTTGCAAGCCTGCGATGACTGTTTCATGTTGGGGCTGAGCAGACAAACCTCAGCTTGCCTTGGTAGAAAATAAAATTGGAAAACAAATTGTTGATACGTCTTATTTTAACCCTAAAGGGTAAGAGGATGCTGGATTCTGAACGTGTTGTGGTTATTTTTTAACCCTCAGGGAGAATTTTCTATATATTACAGAAGCAGTTTTTAAAACTCGAAAAGTCAAACATTTAACAACTTTGTGTTGTTGTGACCAGTGGCGGCTGGTCAATAGAGGGCGCTTGTGTGTCGCCCAACCCAATGACCTTGATTAGGACAAAAAACCCATAAAATTTAAATTAAAAAATTAAATAATTTTGAAATATATCTTTTCGATGTGTGAGATAAATATTTAATCTTCAATGACGAGTAAAGCTGTTTCGTTCGTCGTTGGATTGGTGACGTATTTCCACCCCAGGGCGCAAAAATCTTTGGCCATAGACTTTTGTTAAAAGTTGTAAATTCGCAGCAGCTCCTCTGCAGTGCAAAAGAATGGCAGATCTGCAGAAGTTTGAGACAATTGGAGAGGGAGAGAGAAAGAAATGAGGCAAGAAAAATTTAATTAAAATTGAAGTCTGGTCATATTCAGAATACAAACTTCTAAAAGTACTTTAAATATGAGATTATTACATACTGTCCAATAAATAAGTTTTTTTTTTATTAAGAGTCAATTTTATTGGAATGTGCTTTACAGGAGGCGTCCATGTTTGTCAAAGAACTCTACTGCCACCTACTGGTTTGTGAAGTCACGGTGCAGTATCGGCTGTTGACCAAGTCCCAATGCTGTATCTGGTGTTTGTCACAATTCATCTTAAATACATTGTTATTTGAAATGTTGGCTACATATTACATGTTTTTTCTCTGGCCAGAAACTTGATGGCAAACCCTCCCTCTTCAATTTGGCAACGACAAACCCGGATCATAAATCGGAAAGGTGAAATAACAAATTTTTTTCACTTTTACCTGATGAATTACAACATCCGACTGCCATGCATGTGGCCATTGTCAGTTTAACTATACCCCTCGAGAATTTCAATGGTGAAGTCCTTGTGAAATCTTAAATAATTGTTGTTAATTGCAGATGTGTCAACTAGTTCCCATTGATTTTGCCTTTGGCTTACCGCACCATGACGATACTGCCGGAAGATGTCAGGAGTGAGGTGTTACTATATTTGGGCACAAATGGCCTGTCCCAGACTCTGTGATGGTGACGAAAATAATTACTTTTATTACTGATTAACGTAAATTCATTAAATCACGGCCAACATATTAGTTTTAGGTATAGGTAATGATCCTTTGATTATTACTTGCTGACCAGACTTCTCCTTTAAGTGAAGTCCCTTAAAGCAAATTTACCAAGAGAAGCTGGAGGTGAAAGCGTTTTTTATAATGAATGCCTGAGTGACTGGTGGAAAAGGAGAAATAGAGCTTAGACTGACACAAAGTTACTGACTGTAAATAGTTCATCGTTATTGTGTAGGCCTTCAGTTCAGAATTCATGTTTATCTGAATAAACAGTTATTAAACAGAAATACAACTTAATGAAAATTATTTATTTTCATCACCAGTTATTATCATAGTAGAAAGTCTTTCTCAAGCAGTTTGTGATGAATTTTGGAAACAGGAAAGGAGCCCCTGATCTAACGCACCACCTGGCTTGAGAAACCTGTTCCAAGACTTTATTTTACTCATTATTTAAGTAGCACACACATATCATCCTCATCTTATTTTATTCTTATATCTTATTTGTACTTACAATCTTATTTTTCTCTCTTCTTTAAATGGTTGCACTGCAAGAAAAAGGTTTTACACAAGGGATTAATAAAGTAATTCTGAAACTGATTTATGAAGCCCTTTGTTAGAATTCAAATCAGCCATTTTAACCTAGATTTATTCCAAGATTGCAGTGAGATTAATCTAGATTTAAAAAAATAATATATGCCCTTTTTAAATGTTTTAAAAATATTAGTGACATTAGAGAGAAAGCTTCATGAATATTAAGGTACACAGCTGACGGGTTAAGAATAATGTTGTGGGGAGCTGCAAAGATCCAAAGTCCAGGAAGAAGAATAAAAAAAAAAACAATTGATAAATAAAATCCTCCTGTAAAAGCCTAGTCAACAAGGACTTAGGTAAAGCTGAATACAAAGATGATTCAGTTATTTATTTCTAAAGATCATGGGAAATGTTCTAAAACTTGTTCTGCTTTAGTATTAGTATTTGTTTGGTATTCTAATGGCAGCTGATACTATGCACTTTGCCCTTGGTTCCATGACAAATTTATCTATAGGCTACAATAAATTCTATTCTATTCTATTCTATTTCTAAACGATGTAGTCCTACTATTGTAATGATTTATCAAAGAGCTGTTTTCACGACTTCAACCTGCAGGTGGCGCCAGTAGAGCACGGTAAAACCCATCTTGACCAGGTGAAATTAGAACCACTTTGGCCAAATTTTGGAACATCAGATTAATAAATGCAACTTTTTAATCTACAATATGAGAGAAATTTGTTTTAAAAAAAGTGATATTTAAAAAGTAATTCAAAGAGTTATTTGGAATAAAAGCTGCCTTATGAATAAGTATTTGGAGAAACTTTTCTGGAGCATCTTTGCAAATTGAACCCCCTCTTCAAACCATAGCTCATAATTAGACCATGCTGAGTTTGTTATTGTCTTTCTTTCATATAGCACCAGAAAAAGATCAGGGATTTATCGCAAATTAGCTCAGCTCTCAATTAGAAATGGCAACATTTAATCAGCTTACTTGTTTTCCCTTGGGATTCTCACCTAATTCTGCTCAACAGTCTGTGGTGAGAAGCAGATATTTTATGAGCTTCACTGTTATGAATGAGACTGAAGGTATTTAGAACAAG